GTTGGTAAGTGTTTCCTCATAACCCCCCCCCCCTCCACTAGGTGTTGCCATATGGCTGACAATCAGGGCTGCCAACATACGGCTGCAACAACTCGCCTTTTCCAATACCTATCGTCACTGGTCTCAAATTGGTCACACTACAGTATGCACAGATACTTTTTGTTGCGAGTGTACAATAAGCGAGATCTCGCACTCAGGATGGAGGTGAGAAAGGGAACTCAGAATAGCCTAACTCTACTTGTATTGTATGTACACTGCAGTGCTAGGGAGTTGCTGTGTGGTGAGGAGCTTGTTGAGAGGCGGTCCTGTACGTTTGAGAGCATGACCTTCACGGTTGTTTGTTGTTGTTGAGATTGTCGGACAGTAGTCCGACACGGCCTTTGCCTGTAGGCGGCCCGTTTGGTGGTTCGGGCTGCAGCTCTTGGAGCAGTCAGACCGGATTTGGGATGGAGCTTGTCCCACCTGCAGATATGAAAGGATACTGCAGGTTTGCAAGTGTGAGCGGCCCCTCGGTCAGTGAACGCTTACCACCAACCCCCACTCTTGGACGTGGTCAGTTTCGGAGTGGCACGACCCCCGTACTAAGGTCCGCACTTGCTGGGGGAGGATACTTCCTAAGCTATCTGGGTGGTCGGTATCGTGCGATGACCCGGGGAAGATGGTGAATGTGGTTTGTTTGGGCCTTTCGGGTTAGAGTGGCCGATGGTGTTGTGTGTTCTTCTTGGAAGTTTCGAATTCTGTTTCGGAGACTTTGTGTGACATCGCAGTCACACAAAAGAGGGTCTGACCTTGGGTGTAGAAGGCCGCTCCGGATCTATGATGTTTTGGGTCCACCGAGCCGTCTGTGAAGTATGATGCTGCATCAGCTGGTGTCTCGGTGGCTATGGCTTCCTGAACTATTCTTTTGAGGTCCTCCTTCTGAAGGTTGGCTTTGCTATCACCTAGTTCAGTGATTTTGAATGTGGCTGGTGGAGGGCTCCATGGTGGAGGAACTACATAATCTCTGTCTCGTATGTCTTGGTTGTTCTTGACGAGTGCTTCTGCTGGCAGGTGCCCGATGACCTCGCTAGCCTCGTGCGACCAGGTGACCCCTCGCCCTCTGTGGTAGAGGTGGTGGGAGGCACTGATTCGCGTTTTAGCAGCTGTGGGCTTATCTGATCTACAGATTTTAGCGAGGAGACCGGCTGTCACCTGCTTGACTCGTACTGCCAGGGGTGGTAGTTCAGTTTCCATTTGCAAATTGCAAATTCTGGTCCACATGGGTCCTGAGAACATTATTTTGGATAACTTCTAGCTTAGCTATCAGGTCTTCTCTCAGTCCAATGAGCGCTGGAGCACTGTAATCTACCAGCGATCTGATGGCGGCCGTGTAGTAGGCTTTGAGCACATGAAGGTTTGCTCCTGCGGTTGTGCTGGTGAGCGACCTCATTATGTTGTGTCTGCTCTTCGTCCTGTGCCTCAGATACTCGAGTTGCGGCTTGAAAGTGAGTTTCTGGTCGAACCAGATTCCAAGACACTGGTGGGTGTTGGTCCAGACTACCGGCGTGTTTTGTATGGAGAGCATAATGTCTGGTGTGTCTGTGCAGATGGCCATCGCTTTCGACTTGGCTGGATTTATCTTGAGTCCAAGTCAGTTGTGTAAGGGCGCGAGTTTTCCAACACCTACACCACCCTTATCTTACTTACTTCTCTTATCTTAGTTCTTACTCTTACTCAGTTCTTTTGGTAGCATGGTCGAGGGTCTAGGCACATGGGTATGGTAATTCTGGTATCAAGTCACTTGGTCGGAAATAAAGGTAAGATACTGTGGGAGAAATGAATACACCTAAAGTACTCTAAGAACAAATTTATTAATATGAAATCAAAGGGAAAAAGAGGTATTATTAATAATAACTACCAGGTTCAACTCCTGACTTCTCCTTTACTTATTTTCTTATTTCTTTACTCAACAGTAATTACTCAGATCTTACACTCTTACTGCACACAACCTTACTGGTGTTACATTACATACATAGCAGGACCAGTTCCTTGGCCCTACTCACAATACATAGTACATGGCACTCCTTGAACATTACTGTACTTCTCACACCTACTGGTGGTACGTGGCATTACAGTACAGATACAAGACTTTTCTCAACATATACGTTAATACTGAAACCAGCAGATACCTGGGTCCTCTACCCAACGTGGGATAATTATTTCCACCTAATTATCCCCAACATATATATTACAACACCCTCAGGTTAGAAGGTAAGACAAAAAGTACAATAGTTGTTTAAGTAGTTGGACAGAGAAAATAAACTAAAGTGAAGTATTATAGGAGGTTCCACACCCCCTACACTACTACTACTACATATTGTTAAATAAGAAATGTACAGTCCCCCAAAAAGTTTCGTTAGATTTTCGGCCGCTACAATTTGAAACGCGAGTCGAAATGCTTTGATATATTCCCCAATGCCTCACATGGCCTACTGGCCATGTCAACAACGGCAACAGATGGGTAGGATTGGGGGAGGGAGTCGTCCTTGCATGGTATACTAGATACGTCATTGTGGTGGCCGGTAATAAAGTCACAGGAAAAAAAGTCACAGAAAAAAAGTCACAATTTTGGCTAGGAAAAAAAGTCACAATTAATTTATGGTGGCCGGTAATAAAGGTTAGGTTAGGTTACCATCAGTTCTGCATATTCCTTTACTGAAACTGATTGACATATTAACCTTAAAAAATGTGAGAATTCGATAGTTAACTTTTCTTTTTTTCCTGTGACTTTTTTACCTGTGACTTTCTTACCTGGATTCTTCATTGTAACACAAATTCATTAAGTTATATTAACGTATGCATCGAGCTGGGTAGAAGCAAGACATGTGTGAACAAGCCACTGTCATGGTCACAAAAGCATGGCTAGTCTTTTCAACACTTAGTTATTCATTCTATGCTACTGTAGCGTACTGTCGTGGCAGGTTGTCAGCGTCTCTTATTTGCTCAGAGTTCCTGTAGGGCGAAGAGCTTTCTGAGGGAGCGTGTGTATGGAGCTGTTGAGGGATGTTGTTTGCTGGTGGCGGTAAGTAGAAAGAGGTCGATGACGGCCAGGTGAGGTCTTATATAGCGGGGGTAGGCGTGGCTTGATGGAAGGCCCCGCTTTGTTCGGCGTCGCTGGTTACCTGACCTTGACCATGAGGGATACGCCGGTAGATTAGCGGGGGGTCGGCCAGTCAGCGACACACGGCATTTGTAGGGGAGGAATCCACTACAATACTCCCCCTCCCCTCCGGGCGCGACGGGGATGTTAGCCGGGTTTCGTCCCACACGTGATACATGCCGGGCAGGTGTACGTACCACTCTGCCGCTGCGGGTGATAACTACGTCTAGTGACACAGAACCTGTGGGGGAGTCAGGGGGAGAAAGAGGGTTTTGGATTAGAGGAGGTTGTACAGGCAATGGTTGTTGTGCTTCTATAGCGGCTGGGGCAGCTTCCTCAGGGCCACTGGCTGGGTTGACTGGGTCAGGGGCGACATCAGGGTCCATGACAGGAGCAGGTTCTATAACAGGAGCAGGTTCCATGACAGGAGCAGGTTCTATGACAGCAGCAGGGTTCACGACAGGAGGAGGGTCTATGATAGGAGCAGGTTCTACTATGGCAGCAGGGTCCAGGACAGGAGCAGGGGGTACCTGAGGGTGAAAAGAGGGTGCCCAAAAATGTCGTGGGCGGGGTGTTGCTGCCGGTGGCAACTGCGGGTAGACTGGTGCAGGCGTCGTTTGTTGGTGGTACTGCTGGGTCGGGGGCTCAACGGGTAAGGTGGCCGGCTTGACTCTGTCTATGCTGACGGTGTAGTGTCTGCCATTCCGGATAATCTTCAGAAACTTCGCTGAACGGGTAACAACCTGGAAGGGTCCATCGTAGGGGCGTTGTAGTGGGTTGCTGTGAGCATCATGCCTGACGAAAACATACTCGGCTGTGAGTAGTGCGGGAGGGATGTGTTCAGGGCGCCGAGGAGGCTGGCGTGGAGCAGTAGCTCTGAATGCAGAAACTGCTTGCCGTAGCTTTTGGAGTAAGTCGTGACGGACGGCATGAGTGGTTTGGTGGAGGTCAGGAGGGAGTGAGAAATCCCCGGGTAGGCGAAGGGGCTCGCCTAGGGTGAGATCTGCTGGGTTGTACTGACAAAGTTTCATTCCTACTAAGTTTCACAACATTTATGTTGATCACGATATGCCTGCTTTGTGAAGAGTGACCCGGCAAATAGTACTTGATATTATAGTGAACAGATACAGTAATATACAATATATCGGTCTACATGGAATCTGCCACGCTACTGATATGCAAATTACATTGGTTTAACACTGAAATAAGGTTTCAAATCGTGGGACTTGCAGGCAACAGAACCTCCCGTTCACCCATACTGTGGTAAGACTTTTGTGTTGCCAGTTGTTTCATGGCGCCTAACCCAGCGTGATACTGTTGGTTCGCTCACCCCAGTTCGTCGTTCTATCTCAGCGTTACGTATACCTGTGGGGTTGTTTGTTCTCTCTCAGGATGGGATGGAGAAAGGAAACTCACAATGTGCTCTCTGTATACATGTTGTATTGGATGTACAATGCAGCTTGGTGCTGGGAAGCCAGCATGGTTACAAGCGTGATGTAGAGAGAGCTGGTTGGTGAGGATGCTCAGAGAAGGACAGCTTGTGGGTCGCCATGCTCGCCGGCGGGAGCGAGGACCGCCAGGCAGCGGCGGAGGAGGAGGAGGTGTTGCTGGCTGGCTGGTGTAGGGAGAAAAGAGAGAGACCACCACGAAGTCAGGTCTTAAATAGCGGGGGGTAGGCGTGGCTTAGTAGTTGACCTCTGTGATGCATGGCGGCGCTGGTTGACCCAGACCACGAGGCATACACTGGGGAATTGGTGGGGTCGGCTACGCAGCGACAAACAGCGTTTGTAGGGGAGAAATCCACTACAATACTCCCTCCTTCCCTCCAGGCTGTGTAGGAGACTTGTTGTCTTGCTGTCTCCCCGATAATTCCTCGCTCCACTTACTATAAGATCCTGTTGATGACTGGCATGGTGTTGGTGGCATGTACGATAACCACTCCCATTCATGTTATATATGATCAGAAGCCTCGGAGGATTCACAATGTTCAAAAACGTATATACTCAATCGTGTTCAGAGTTGTCGGATGTAGAACTATCTACCGTTCACGTCGAGTAACAGTGCTCGGGAAGCCTCGAATATGGCTGATGCTACTTTTATTTTTGAGGGCTGTACAGTGGCTACCAACATCATCAAGTGGCTGTCGTTTACAAAGCCCAGCCTAATTAATCAAATGTAGTTCTCAGGAGCAGTTCATTACTGTCTCTTAGACCTCTTAAGACTCCCACAGTTTACACAAACAAATGTTCTGTCTTGTAGTCCGTCTGACGTCACCGGGTCTGTAAACAAACAGCTGCTGGCGTCCACAACTCTCAAGCAGTAATATGTGATGTTCCAATATCCAGGTCTAGTCATATTGTATTATTTCACTATTTTACCAAAGTTGGTGTTTTTATCACAAAATGCACAATTGTCATGGTATTTTGGGCAATGCCATTCCACTATACGAAAAATCCAGAAATACATTATATAATTATTTAATGTTAGCAAGATTCATCTAAACTATTTTTTCATTATAACTGAATAGCTGAATGTCATGTTTATATATGTTCAATACCGTGTTCATTATATCCTTAGGTACATCGTTATAGAAGTGGAGATCAGACTTGTTGGCGTGATGTTTAGAGCGGTGGGTGAGAGAGAAAGGGATGGTATCCGGGTAGCCTAGCACCTGCTGCAGGAGGTAGTTGAACTCTGGAGCAATGTTCTCCAGTCGTAAGATGTACTGATACTTCCTCCTGCAGGGTTCGCAATCCTCCGTAAAGGTCATCCAGTGACGATCCATCATACCCAGATTGTGAGTCCATACCACATGGCGCAAAAAGTCTTGGAAGGTAAAGGAAGCATTGCCAAATTGTTCCATTAGTTTGTCCCTGTTGTTGAAACCATACACCGATGCCTGTAGTAACGCAACAAATCTACCGTTGTATATCATGCCCAATCCCGTTTGTAGTATAATATCTCCATATAATTCAGTTGCAACTGAAATCTGTAAGTCATCCGGTGAACTAATGTCAATTTTTCTTACCAAGAAATTATAGGCATCCACGCTCAAGTCTAGCATCTTTGTGAATTTTTCCGTTGGTTGTATGACGCCTTTGGAAATGAGAGCTGGTAGCCAGTACGAGAACCAGCGTTGGCTCCACGTCTCGCCGCTCTGAGTGGTGCTCCTCCACTCGTCATCGTAGTTACTGATGGGTTCGCCGCTCAGGTATTTGTCTCTGGTGCAAGAGGAAGAATGTATAGTTTATTTATTTAATTATGGACGTTTTACACTCAATGGTTTTATATATCTGATAAACGAAGACATTTTATTATGTTAAATGTCATGACTTAAAGTATACAAACTTTTGCTTTAAATTATAAAACCTGGGTTGACTTTAAAATAATAATAATAATTTTACATGTGATAAACTCTGGCTCTTGTTATATTAAAACAAAGACCCGCAGTAGTCTTCAATCACCTCAAAAGGTCAGCGTCTCCTTCCTAACGAGTTAGTATCAAACTAAGTTAAATAATGCAGCGCCAGCAGTGTTGAGATCCTCAACTACATTTTCCTATAACATTCCGTTGTGAAGGTAATGGTAAAAAAAAATAAATAAATAAATAAATAAAATAATCTATATATATATATATAGACGATAAAATCACACGAAAAGCGAAACAACGTGTGATTTTACTAAGATTTATCTTATCCATTTTTCATTGTGGATCTACATGAAATATATATATATATATATATATATATATATATATATATATATATATATATATATATATATATATATATATATATATATATATATATATATATATATATATATATATTAATTAGGGTGGTCCTTATTTTTCAACTTTGGAATTTTTTACCACAGACCATGTTAAAAGTGTCCATTTAGGACAAATACGTTGTGTGTAGAGTTATTTTTAAATATATTAATACTTAGAGGTTGCTCAAAGCTGTCAAAAATTAAGTGATC